AGGTCCTGGAGCAGCAGCAGCAACAGCAGCAGCATCCGCACAAGACACGCAAGAGACAGGCCGTCGGAGGGGCGGGCTCCTGCAGCCAGAGTCGGACGCCTGCCCGCCAGCAGCAGCAACAGCAGCAGCAGCAGGAGATGCACAAGAAGACCTCCTCGGTGACGGTGACCATCAAGAGGGAGCGCTCTCGCTTCCAGTTGGATCGACTGCGTCATCTGCCGAACGGCGAGTCGACGGAGATGGAGGAGATGGAGCCGCCGCCGCGACGCAATCGCCACAGGCATGCGAACAAGTACGAGAAGTCCAAGTCGGACTTCGACATTACCAGCCTGAAGGATATGCAGCCGCTGGATGCCGTGTGCCTGCCGCCGCCGCAGCAGTTCCAGGATCAAGAGCAGGAGGTGATAGCCCTCGCCCTCACACTGGCTCCCCCGCCCCCCGATGAGTTTCGCGATCCGCCGCCAGAGCCAGCGCCGACAGCAGCTCCAGCTCCAGTTCCCGTTCCCATTCCCATTCCGAATCCGACTCTAGCTGCCACGCCCCTTCCAGCGCCCAGAACCAAACTGGTGGCACCGCCAGCAGCGCCGCCGCTGAAGGAACGCCAGCCCGTGGGGGCTATCGATAATCCGGTGTACCACATCTACGAGTCACTGCGTCCCATCTCCACGCCGGCCATCTTCAGCAACAAGCCAGTGCTCAAATCGCACAGCCTGGCCGAGCTGAAGCGTCCGCAGAACCTTCAGAATCCTCCGAATCATCAGTGCAAGACGCATCATGGCCAGGAGAACGGCTTGGATGCCGCCGAACAGGATGAGAACAAGGAGAACACCCACTCCCACTGCCAGTCCCAATCCCACGGACAGGTGCGTGGAAAGACCAACACTGGGGGAACGGGACCGGGAACGGGAACCAATACCAGCTCGAAGCACAAGCGCAAGGGCCAGCAGCCAGCTGCAGTCCAGGAGGCGCCGCCAAGCATCTCTCTGCTGGAGTTTGAGAAGTACCGGGAGGAGTTCCGCAAGCAGATCAAGTACCAGGGCACCATCTACTCGGACTACGTGCAGCTGGCCTCCGAGCTGCCCTACTTCTACATCAGCGACGAGTATCGCGCGTTCTCCCCGAACGGCATGCACTTGGTAATCTGCGTCCATGGATTGGATGGGAATTCCGCTGACCTGAGGCTGGTGCGGACATATCTGGAGCTGGGTCTGCCGGGCGTAAATCTGGAGTTTCTCATGTCCGAACGGAATCAGGGCGATACCTTCTCGGACTTTGACACCATGACTGATCGGTGAGTACGAGGATGGTCTTAGAAAAAAGCGGATGTTATCGTGATTCATCTGATGGTTTCCTTGTCTTTTTGTCAGGCTGGTAACCGAGATACTCTACCATATCGATAGCTGCGCCTTGAACCCCGCACGCATCTCGTTCGTGGCCCACTCTTTGGGTACCATCATTGTGCGGAGTGCTCTGGCCCGTCCACAGATGCGACCCCTGCTGCCGCGCCTGCACACGTTCCTCTCGCTCTCCGGCCCGCATCTGGGGACGCTCTACAACACCAGTGGATTGGTTAATATGGGTGAGTGGTTACACCAGTTCCCGAATTGCATCCCGTTTAATTTTTCCCTTCCCAACAGGCATGTGGTTCATGCAAAAGTGGAAAAAGTCGGGCTCTTTGCTGCAGCTCTGCATGCGCGATACCACGGATATGCGCAACAGCTTCCTCTACCGCCTGAGCCAAAGGAGCACGCTGCATCATTTCAAGAACATCCTGCTGTGCGGTTCCAGTCAGGATCGCTATGTGCCGGCGCACTCGGCACGCCTCGAGCTGTGCAAGGCAGCCATGAGGGACAGCTCCACGCTGGGAACTATCTACAGGTGCGTGTGTCCCAAATCCAAGTATCGAAATTTCACACTCAAACTCATTCTCCGCAGGGAAATGGTGCACAATGTAATTGCTCCGATTCTGGCCAGACCCGAACTGACGCTGGCCCGCTTTGATGTCCACCATGCGCTGCCACACACCGCGAACACGTTGATAGGCAGAGCCGCACACATAGCAGTCCTCGACTCGGAGCTATTCATTGAAAAGTTCATGCTAATTGCGGGCCTCAAGTATTTCAGTTAACCAGTCAATCACATCGACCAGCATCCAGCATACCATGCCCTCCCCAATGGGCGGAACCAAAATCTTGCTGACTTTTTAACGGACATTTCATAGAGTCCTAGCCCCGAGCGTTAGCCTCCACTTACAATACATATGTTGTATATGTATGTAAACCCTAGACAAGTACTCATATTTTAAAGTTATTTAATGTGTAAAATCAAAAGGATCTATATCTATTCAGTTGTATACAGTATACAGTCGATAAGGCGAAGCACTCGATGAACCAGAAGCAGAAACAGCCAAGCCAACTGATTCCAAGGAATTTATTGAAGCAAATCGTTAGACTTGAATTTTTTACCAATGCAAATCTTTTGTAGCGAATTGAGACACGAACGAAGAAGGGAAGAAGAACACGAAGAACGAAATCAAAACAAAAGCAAAACCAAAAACAAAAACCAAAGAATGTTTAATCAAAAAAGCAAAACCAAAAGACCAGCATAACTCTGTTGAAAACGTGTGTGTTATCGGAAAGATACATTTTTTGTAGCTGTAGCGAAACGAAACGAAGCGAAGCCAAAGAGCCACCATCATATAAGTAGTGTTACATTCAAGTTCAAAACTATACACGAGACTTTTTTCAAAACACGCGGTTGAATTGCATAATGAAATTGAATAGAAATGATCATGTTAACGTATACGTAACGTAACTATCGAATGTACTCGTAGTTTGAGCACGGTCGGTCAAAGCAAATTTTGCATTTCGATGACAGTAGCAGAATAATATTAGCAATTTTTAAGACTAATCCCCCAAACACAAAAACAAACGACAACAAAATGGTTTTTTTTCCAAACTTTGTACTGTTGGGAAAGAGAAGAACAAATTTAGAAAAACTAGAGAATAGAAATAGAGGTAGAGGGTAGAGCTAGAGCTAGAGCTAGAGCTAGATGAGTTGGTAAAGTATGACAGCAGTAAAGTAGATCTGAGGGCATTTTATGGAGAGAGAGCGTCAATTAAGCTGGATTTTTTTTTTGTTTGTTTGCCAGCAGATTTGGATTTTTCATTGGGAACAAGAAAGAAGTTTATTGGCGGAGCAGAGCAGAGCAGTTAGGACAACTTTTGCGAATTCGTAGTCTAGTCTTAGGTGTAACTACAATATGATATGTGTGTGTGTGTGTGTGTGTATGTGTGTTTTCAGAGCTTTTTCAAATTGTTGTTGTGAACAAAACAAATGTTTGGCTCTCATTGGGATCTGAGGCCTACTGAGAGCGTACCCTACCAGAACTTGCATTCTTCGTACTATGTGTATAACCGTCCCAAATGTAAAAACTGTATCAACTTGCTAAAAACTACAAAACAAAACAAAGAGAAACTGATTTTAAAAATGTGTTTTTGTGCATCCAACTTTGAATGTGTGTTAAAATGTTTCCTATGGCACTTCGATTTTACTAAATGTATTCCAACAAAATTGTGCAAATTCCCCTAAGTTGCAGTTTTGTTGTACGTTTTTGAATAAAATATGCTAAAATTCAATTTTAGTGGAACATAAGTCAGCATCAGTTCAAATAATTGGGTGGGGCTGCAACCGCGCATTCGGAGGAAGTTGCATCCATAACATCCCAACATCCGAACATCCGCTGGCTATCTTTCTACCAGCAGATTGCTACATCTGTCTCTCCCTTTTTTCACTTCTCACACCACCACCAGCCGTTCCATCTCGCTCCTTTTCGTTAGAGCGCACTCCACGATTATGAGAGAGAGAAAGAATATCAAGAATTCTTAGATGCAACACCTGTGTATTTAACAGATCTGAAGAGCTGTGAGTAATGCATCTTGAAGGCTTAGATCTTCCCACTCTGACGCTGCCGCGGCGAGCCGAAAATGAAACATACGTAGTCATCCCAAATTTGTCATCCTGTCGGAACCACAGCTCGCTGGCGCCCGTCTTGAGCAGCCTCTTCGAGTAAGGCGGCAGCTTGGGCTTCCTGGTGGTGATTATATCTTTGGGGTATAGTATTTGCTTCTAAAGACCAGGTTAGACAGAGGTTAGACCAGGGAGACCGAATTCTGCGGCGAGCAGCACCTTATCGATGTGCTTGAATCCCTCGATGGCGATGACAATTTTCACTTTAAAAAAAGTGGGCATGGAGTGTAAGTGGAAACCGGTGTCGTCTGTTGCAGGCGTATTGGCGACGCTCCAGGTCGCATAGTTATCGCGCCAAGCATCGTGGACTGCTCAGTGCAGGGCATCATTGTCATCGACGTTATCCTTAAGCGATTTCTTGCTACCCCAGTGAAAGGAGCCATGCGGATGGCCTTCGTTGGCCACCTGCTGAAATTCCGAAGCCATGATCTACTGCGACATAAACGGATCGGGATCACCATAACCTGTTCTGCCCTTCTAGTGTGTCGGCTATTCCAATTGGTTTATTCTAATTGCAAAATAAATTCCCAATCGGCTTCGACCAATTGGCTTCGACCAGATGTATTATAAAATTAGCCGACGCCAACTTCACGTCATGCAAAAACCAGAGGTTGCGGCGGTTTCAGTGATGGACATCCGTTCTTGAGAGCGATAAATGTATATTATTTTGGCTTTTTTTAGTTTTATTTACATCTCTAGTTCTGCATGACATCTTGAGGCTGTTTTGCTCGGGTAAATTTCTATTCTTAAATTTGTTCAAAGCTTTATTTAAACTATTTTGTTTTATATTTTGGCTCATGAATTTTTAATGATATGGCAGCAGCCAAGTGAAACAGGAAGGAACGGTTTCTGTAGAAAATCGAAAAGAAAATTCTCTCTCCAGCAGCAGCTGGAGGCAACACCAACAGATTGCTGGGCAACTGAGAGTCCATTATTGATATTAAGGGAATCAAGAGAACGGATTATAAGAAATGACTGCTCAAACGGTTTACAGCAAAGTCGTCGGACTGGCCTTTATTCCCTTCGGCACGGCCACGAATCTACCCCAGCAGTACCTTGATGACCTGAGCTCTGGGATTGGAGAGCTGCGCCAGCTGCTGTCATGTGTGGTGTGCTGCCGACTGCTGGTGGATCCATTTGGGCCGAACGGGAAGGACTGCCAACACTATGTGTGTCGACTGTGCGTAGGAGGAAGCAAGCGGCTGGTGCCGCGGTGCAGCCAGTGCGAGGACTGCTTAGATTTCGAGACATACAAGGAGAATCGTCCCATAGCCACACAGTTGCACTGCTACCAGGCGCTCTGTGTCCATCTGCTGCTGCAGCAGTCTTCAATGCTCAGACAGCTGGCTCGACAGTTTCCGGATTTGAGCCATGTGGCGCAGTGTCCGCGCATCAGGCTGCCGCGCATGACAACAAAGCAGTTCCTCAGGGAAGGGTACGAATATGATCCTATGCCGCCCACCACGGCGGCCGCGCAGACGCCGGCCGTCCAGACGCCTTCCTTTCAGAGCGAAGATTTCTACACGGAGCGCAACTCCCATCTCTCAGAAGCGTTCGAAATTGGTCAAGTGTTTGGAATAGAAGCGGCCCCACAGCCTGCTCCGTTGGCCAAAACAACAGCTGAGGTTGAGGTTCTCCAGGAGAATGTCAGCCAGGAGGAGGCACACTGGGAGAATGTCAGCGATGACGAGGAATACTTCGGGGATGTCAGCCAGGAGGAGGCATTCCTGGAGAATATGAGCGAGGAAACATTTATGGACAGTGTCACTCAGGAAGCATCGCTGGAGATTGTCAGCCAGGATGTATTGCAGGAGAGTGGCAGCCAGGCCACATCTCGAGAGAGTATCGTCGAGGAGTTATACAAAGAGATTACCAGCAAGAAGGCATCGCAGGAGCAGAGTGCCTGGGATGGGATGTATCAAGAGATCCCCAGATCCTCCGCATCGCAAGATATTGACCTCCCGGAGGCATCGCAACAGCTGAATTCCAGCCAGGAGTATACACCTTCCACCAAGTACAGGAAGAAAGACACGGAAATGACTCCTTTTAATTCAAAGCCCATCATCATCTCAAACGTGCAGCTGAAACCTCCAAGACCCGTCCAAGCGATAGCAGCTGAAGCTCCGTCACTCGCTCCGGTTCAAGGTCGGGATCAGGAACCTGTTCCTGTCCCTAAACCTAATCAGGAAGGTGTCTACAAGGAGAATTCGCAAGAGACTGCCAGCCAGGTTGTATTGCAGGAGAGTGGCAGCCAGGCCACATCTCGAGAGAGTATCGTCGAGGAGTTATACAAAGAGATTACCAGCAAGAAGGCATCGCAGGAGAAGAGTGCCTGGAATGGGATGTATCAAGAGATCCCCAGATCCTCCGCATCGCAAGATATTGACCTCCCGGAGGCATCGCAACAGCTGAATTCCAGCCAGGAGTATGCACCTTCCACCACCAAGTACAGGAAGAAAGACACGAAACTGAATCCTTTTAGTCAAGTTCGAGATCAGGAACCTGTTGCTGTCCCTAAACCTACTCTCGCAGCTCCCAAAGCGGATCTCAAATGCTACGCAAGCACAGACACTCCCAGTAATACGACGGGATCGCCTCGTAGGAATGCGGGAAACACAAAGAATGCCGCTGCCATATGCCGCTGCGGAAGCTCTGCAAAGGTTGTTAACCAAAAAACGACCTGTCGCAATAACCGCTGCCGCTGCTACGTTTCTGGCAATTCTTGTACAAATTGTCACTGCTTTGGATGTCATAATCCGCATAAGACGGATTTCCTCGATTCCGATGATGAAGACGAATTGGAAAACGTGCCGCCTCCATCAACCCGCAGTCCCCAGAGCGAGAAGAAGCCAGCGCCAACAGAAGCTGTAGCAACAGAAACAGAAACAAAGCAGACTGCGTTGGGTGGTTCCCAAGGCAATTTAAATTTAGTGCTCGTTAACAATCTGGAACAGTCCCAACATCCTTTGGTGCTCATCGAGAAAGAGCTTGGGGAATATCAAGGTAAGATTATGATCCTTGCAGTTTCGATTCGATCATCTTTTAATCATCGGATTCGTATCTTTCAGGTTACAATTTGTTCCAAGGCAGCGAACCGATTGATCCCGCCACAGTTGGCTTTCTGCGTGTCAAGATGCAGAATGTCAACTCCACCAGACAGATTGCTGAGTATGCGTATGTGATACCACCTCCTCCAGTGGTGCCTTAAGCACCTCCATCCGCCATCAAAAGGAATACAGATCTCCACCGCCTTTAGCAATGCTTCTGCTACCGACCGATTGTCGGCCACAGACTGTTCGAGGAGATCATGTCCAGTTCGCATGAATCTTTTTATTTTATTTTTTTTTTTTTAATTGTTTGCAAGTTCTTGAACGATGGTAAAATCTTGTAATGCGTTGCTCCAAGTGCGTCTAAAAAGCCTAAAAACTAAAACCAAAACAATTTTTTCATAAAATAAATATTAATAACTAACAATGCGTAACATATGTATACCGTTGGGGGTTTTATATATTAATATATTTAAAATGCACCACTATCCATACAGAAAACTGTAGATTGAAGGTATATTTATACACCGTAAATACAATGTATATGTAAGGAAAGGACACTAAAGAAAGAAAGGAAGGAAGGAAATATATAAAGGGAAATAGAAATAAGCAATAGGTTTTGGGGCGGGTATATTTCATCGATAACAGCGCTATCGCTATGCAACGAAAAAATGAGTCGTAATTTTCAATGGGCTGTTAAAGAGGGTATGGACAACAGGAAAAACAGCCGTGCAAAGTTGGAAGGTTCGTACGAGCTCCACCTTGCTTTGGAGGACAACATACCTTGAAGACGAGACCGACAAGGTATATTGGGCAAATGGGGTGGATTCACCTTGCATGAGTTGCATTTTCTGGGCCGTGTTGCCTGTTGTCCATACCCTCTTTTTCCTCCTATTATGTAGCGAATGTGTAGTTGCCATGTAATTTTTCATTCCAAATTAATTGTTGTTCCACGCAAATACGCAAATAAAAGAAGAAAGGGAGAAGGGAGCGAACAAGCGACAAATCAATCAATACCTGATAGGAATTATCAAAGGCTGCGTATACTCCGAAATGGCAACGGCCGCGCGCCCGCCCTCGCTGCGCCTGGGGCAGCAAGATCTGAAATGCAGGCGGGGCTGTGGATACTACGGTACTCCCCAGAACGATGGCCTCTGCTCGAAGTGTTTTCGCGACCGCAACGATAAGCAGCGAAAAATGTGTAAGTCCCGGTTCCAGCCACAGCCCAGCTTAATCTCCAGTCGAGCCTTTAGTCATGAAGTTGCGCTTTGCAGTGAAGGCTGGCGACATGCAGCCCATCATCGGTGGCAGCAGCCACGGCCCTGCGTCCTTTTCCGCAGGCGGAACCCTCGAACGCAGGTCGCCGCAGCATTTTCTGGTGCGGGATACCCCCAAGAAGCAAGTGGACAAGGAGCCAGATACCACCTCGATGCTACAGAAGAAGAAGTTCACGGCCGTTCTGCAGAAGACCCTTCAGGCGGGTGCACAAAAGAGTAGGTGGCAGATCACTTTGATTGATGGCTTTGATTGAACTTGCAAAAGTACTAATGATATGATTACCTGTATATATAGTTGCTCAGCAGCGTGGATATGTCCCTGATCCCACCGAAAGTCAGTTCGTTAAGCAGCTGCAAAAGCTACGCATTCCCGACGATGGCAAGCGCAAGCTAAAGAGCGAAATCCAGCGGCTGGACAATGAAATACGGAAGTACATGAACAGCCACAGCAGCAAGAACATTGACGAGCTCTCGGATACGGTGCAGAATACCTACACAAAGGTGGCGGACATTGTGCACAATGATCCGCGCTTTGAGATCGCCACCAACGAGGATCGCGAGAGTGCCATCGATTTCTTTGAGAAGGTCGTGATGACGCAGAACCACAAGTGAGTCATCATCCTCAGAGAACATCAAAGAATTCATTCGTTCATCCACTTATCAAAACAATGGGGGGAAACTCTTGCAGATTTCTCTTTAGTCCCTACTTTACAACAGACGAGGAAAGCGACATGATGGTTCAGAAGCGCATACGCCAGCTGAGCTGGATAACGTCCAAGCATCTGGACTGCAGCATTGACGAGGTGAATGCCGAGGCCAGGGATCTGGTGTACAATGCCATATCCGAGCTGGTGGGTATCGATTCGTACTACTCGCCGCAGGAGAAGCTCCAGTGCACCGTCCGCTGTTGCCGGCACATCTTCGAGCTGCTCAAGCGTGCCACTGGCGGGCCAGCCAGTGCCGATGACTTCCTGCCCGCCCTGATCTTTGTGGTGCTCAAGGCCAATCCGGTGCGGCTGCACAGCAACATCAACTTTGTGACGCGATTCACCAATGCCTCGCGCGTGATGAGCGGCGAGGGTGGGTACTATTTCACCAATCTCTGCTCAGCCATTGCCTTCATCGAGAATTTGAATGGCGAGAGTCTAGGCATCAGCAAAGAGGAGTTTGATGCATTGATGCAGCCCGATGCAGGCCTGCAGTCCTTCAGCAGCCCCTGGGAGAGTGCTCTGATGGCCTGCGAGAGTCTGCACCTGATTTCGGAGAACATGAAGCAAATGGAAAAGCTGCAGAGGAAGAATGCAGACATTAGCTCGGGAATAGCCTCATTTGAAAAGGAGTTGATTGAGTTCCAGCGAGAAGTCACCGAACGAGTGGACACGGTCATGGCGAAGGCACCGCTGACGCTGTTGCCCATTAAGACGCCCGCCTTCCTCATCGGCCAGGCACGCTCCCAGCTGCTGCAGGAGATGCACGAGGGTGAAGCAGGCCATTATCAAGCGAATGTATTGAGTGGTTCCCAGTCCTTGACAGTTCACAGCGGGATGGTAAAGACCGCTGTGGCAGCGGAAGAGTCAGGCCTGGCCCTGAAGGACACCAGCATCAGCTCCATTGGACGCCTGTCGCCACTTCCGAATCTCCAGCAGCCCGACAACCTCTTTGCCTCTCCCATATTCAATTACGCAGCCTTTGATGCGGTGTCTCTGTTGGAGGAGCCCTCGTCTGGCGGCTGTGCAGATGTCCTGATGCTGGGTGCAGAGCTCCAGGGCGGCCTAACGAACATCAATTATGACTTTGATCTGTCGGACCAAAGCGGCGAGAACAGCACGGCGGAGGAGTCCAAGTTAAATCTTGATGAATTCGATCCCCTGGCGCAGCCGCAGCCGCAGCCGTGCGGTGCGCCAGCAGCAGTGGAACCCGAGACCAGCCTGCTCAACACCACCACGGACAGCCTGATAGACAGCGATGTCCCCGGAACTTGCGTCTCGCTGCCCTCGCCCCTGAAGCCGGAGGTGGCCAACTATCGGGGATTCTCGAATTTCGAAATTCCAAGCATCTCCTGCAACACGGGGGACTTCAGTTCGCTAGGCCACGACGTCGAGACAACTGAGAAACCCAAATAGCTGGAATGGCAGATCGTTCGACTCTTTATCCTACCCTGCACGTACAACAGAGATGTAAATAGATATATGATGTAGTTAGCCCATAGGTCGTTTCAATTCAACAATTTGCACATATTTATTTGTACAATACTTGAATAGCTTAATAGGAAAAAATACAGACGCGAAGCCTAAATAAATTTCAATTGACTAGTACCGATAACTTTTAAATTTACAGCGTGGCGCGCAGTTTTCGATAAGCTTCTACCACTTTGCAGCACAGCCTTCGGCTCGGGTAAGAACATCTTTTACCCGGTTCACAACAATGAGTCCCATTCCCATTGCTGGCCACATTAACTTGTAAACCTTGTTTTTTGTCAATATACAATACATAAAAGTAATTAAAAGTAGTTCATCTTGTGGAAAATGTATTCTATATTTTGGTATAATTCTGAGGGTCGGACGGTATATTTTAACGATAAATCCACGGTCACATTGCCAGCGAAGCCACACACAAACGCGTTTTCCAAAACAAAATTGAAATCAGAGTCAGAATTCCGCTGCCACTTGAATCGAACGCCCGCCTGCCGACTTGGAACCGGAATGTTGAGAACTGTGAACAGAATGCTGTTGCTGCTAGTTGTGGCCATCGCGATAAGCGTTTCGAGTGCATCCAGCATACCGGCCGAAGTGCCCCACAATCCCCTAGAGCACGACTCGCTCCATGCCCCGCACTTTGATGGTGCCGAGCATAATTCGCAGTACGACCACGAAGCATTTTTGGGGCCGGATGAGTCCAAGAAGTTCGACAACCTCTCGCCGGAGGAGAGCAAGCGGCGGCTGGGCGTTATTTTCGATCGCATAGATGAGGACAAGGACGGACTGGTGACGCTGTCGGAGCTGAAGAACTGGATCTCTTTCACGCAGAGACGGTACATCGAGGAAGATACGGGTCGTCTCTGGAGGCAGCACAATCCGGACAACAATGCCACCATCAGCTGGGAGGCGTACCGGGATTCAGTCTATAGTTTCCTGAATGATTTGTCCGCGGAAGAACTGGCCCAAGAGGAGAATGGTGAGTGGAAAAAAGAGAGTGTTGCTTAGTTGAAAATCTTTAATCAATCTTCTCATGCCCCGTCCAGGCATCAGCTACAAGGGATTGCTCAAGCGTGATCGTCGCCGCTGGGCTGTGGCCGATCAGGATCTTGACGATAGCTTGACCCGCGAGGAGTTCACGGCCTTCCTGCATCCCGAGGACCATCCCACCATGCGTGACGTGGTCCTGCAGGAGACAGTGGAAGATCTGGACAAAGACAAGGATGGAAAAATCAATGAGGATGAGTACATCGGCGACATGTACCGCCCATCGGAGGCCAACGAGGAGGAGCCCGAGTGGGTGGCCAGCGAGCGCGAGGCCTTTGCCAAGTACCGCGACACCGACGGCGATGGTTATCTCACTGAGACGGAAGTTCGCCAGTGGATCACGCCGCAAGACTTTGATCATTCCGAAAGCGAGGCCAAGCATCTGATCTTTGAGGCGGATGTGGATCACGACGAGAAGCTAACAAAGGCAGAAGTCCTAGACAAATACGATGCCTTTGTGGGCTCCCAGGCCACCGAATTCGGCGAGGCTTTGGCCAGACACGACGAGTTCTGAGTTCTAGACTAGACGAATCAAAAACACTCCCTGAGATTAAACCACAATATGAACAAACAACTCTTAAGAATCTCCCAACTCGAATGCCAAATAATTTTGTAAAACTCTCTTTAGATCTAAGACAGAAGTGCATTATAAACGGATAAACATAAACACTAATATTTCTACTTAATGTTTAATTGATTTGATTTTTGTTCCTAATTGAAAGGCGTCCACGTCAGCGTTGGGTCCATCATCAAATCTTCTGCTCTTCTCCATGGAATGGACACGTCACTTCTCGCACACGCACATATGGGAACATTTGACCGCCCCATCACTCCGTTCTCCCACACAAACGGAACAGATTCATATACATATATATATATATGTATGTATATATATGTATATGGATATGTGTGTAACATAAACATAAAACGATTTTAGTTGTTTCCAGATTCATTTCCAGCTGCGAGAACATTCCACCACACACACATTGATAGAAATGTTCCCACAGTTAGGCGATTAAGTTTCGGTACACCATGGCTTAATAGATATACATTAAATGTCGTATATTTCCTTCTGTATTGTGTTTGAAAAGGACCAAATCATGAATGGATTATTTGTCCCACTTTAACTCAATCCCAATGGGTGGGTTTAGACATTTTCCATTCACTGTTTTTGTACAATACATCAAGACTGATAGATAGAGTGAGAATGAGAGAGATAGAGCCAGTGGGGGACAGGGACGGGCAAGCACGAATCCGTTGCTTTGCCTCAAGCTGATTTGATTCGGTTTTTTTTTTTTTGGTTTCGACTTTCGCCGAGATAAGCAAATATTTTCATTTTCGGGTTGACAATTCTGTCTCCCTATTAAGACTGTGGAGAGTACAGGGGAGACTGGCTGGAGATAACACAACGGGTAGCGCAGCGGAGAGTTTGTAGGATGAAAGATGTAGGAAATGAAATATTTGTAGATCCCACCTCCACCCCCACCTTTAAGAAGAAATAACTCCACTCCTCTTGTGTTCCTTTGTTGAAAATAATTCTTTAGCTTGAGAGTATTGATAGTTTTTGTTGTATGCTTTATTGATTTCCATTGAAATAGACACATTTATATAATTATCTTGGTTTCGTCAGCTCGTCAGCGTTTTGTTTTGTTTGTTTGATGAATATTTTGTGGTTTTTAAAGTACAAAGTATTCAAAGTTGCTCAGTTTTTTTAGTTTTGATGATTTCAATTTCAGTACATAGTATACGAAGGACTTTCTCATTTTATACATACATGTATATAATATTGTATATATATATATATACCTATGTGTGTGTATGTAGATTGATAGTTCCTGGATCTAGCAAAAGTTTAAAAAGTTGTTACCTGCTGCTCTCCTCCCATTTGCCAATCTTTGTTCTATCCAACAACATCTAAATACAAATATGTATGTAATAATGTATGTATGTAAGTGTAATTGCAATGGAACGTTTACTTTACTGACTCTCTCAAATATCCTACTAGCCTGATCCCCAAGGATATGCCCTCGGGGATGGGACCGACAATCAACAGGCGAACTCTTTATGCTTTATGCTCTCTTTATGCGGTTATTCTCGTCTTCTCGTCCTCCTCTACTTTCGTTCACTATCCTCGCACTTTTTTTGTTTTTTTTTTTTTTTTGGTTTTACCTCAGTTTTACAACATTAATTTTAATTACAAAAGGTTATTAAATAATACAAAATACAGTTACAGATTTTTCCATTGGTTTTTTCTTTCGTTTAGAAATATCTCGCAATCTGGCGATAACTTTTAGTTCGATTTAATGCACATGGAGAAAACTACCAATAGAAACAGGATTATAGATTTGAATTATATTTAGAAAAAAAAAAACACGGAAACGAAATTTAAACGGAAACGAACATGGAAACGGTAACGTAAGCGAAACAGAAGCAAGAAGTTGTGGCTGGGAACGTTTGGGGTTCCCCCGAAATTAGTGGCAAAATTGTAACCAAGAAGGATGGACCACATCCGACGACGGATGGCCAATGCCTCGGTTACATAATTGTTTTATAGTTAATAATATTACGTTTAAAGAGAAGTTCGTGTGTGTGTGTGTGTGTGTGTAATGCTTCGTGGGTGTTTTTGCTTCTTCACTTGCTCTGGGCTCCTCCATCTGTACTGCTCCTGCTCCTGCTGGGATCCTTCTTTTAGAGCAGGGCGCACTTGCGCTTGGACTTGGGCTGCAGCACTGGGCAGAGCACCGATCTGATAGCCTCATCGAACACCGTCTTCAGTCCCTTTTGCGTTAGCGCCGAGCACTCCAGATATTTGACGGCGCCAATCTCCTTAGCCATGGCCAGGCCCTGGGGATAGGTGATGGGTGCCAGCTTCTTGTCGCGCAGCTTCTCGATGGTGTTCTTGTCGTCGCGCAAATCCAGCTTGGTGCCCACCAGAATGATGGGTGTGCTGGGGCAGTGGTGCCGCACCTCCGGATACCACTTTGCGCGCACGTTCTCGAACGAGGCCGGATTCACCAGCGAGAAGCAAATGAGGAAGACATCTGTCTGTGGATAGGACAGCGGACGCAGGCGGTCGTAGTCCTCCTGCCCGGCCGTATCCCACAATCCCAAATTAATGGGCTTGGCATCGACCATCACATTGGCCGAGTAGTTGTCGAACACGGTGGGTATGTACTCGCCGGGAAACGCATTTGTCGTGTAGCTGATCAGCAAGCAGGTCTTACCCACGGCTCCGTCGCCCACAACGACACACTTAATCGCCTGCATATTTGTTGCGTTACTTTACTATTTTCTGTGGCTGCTGCGGCTGGAGTGCTTTGTGTGTGCGGCTGCTGATTGTGCGGCGCAGTGCGGGGGGGGGTGTGGTATGGTGGCTGCTGCTGGTTGGCGTTTTTGGGCGAGGGCTGTTGCTTGCGACAGCCGAAATGCGTATATATCACCACTTGTTTTATGTGCCGTTTGGTCCTCTCGACGCGTGGTAATCGCGCCTTTCGCTGGGATTGCTTTTGTTCACGTTTTGTGCGTTTAATTTCCCAATTTCATCAAAAAAATTAATTTTCTCAAAAAAATTTATTTTCTGTGTACGCGGACTTATCGATAAGATATACGGTCAGTGTAACCGCGGATTTATGGTTAAAATATACCGTCCGACCCTCAGAAATATACCAAAATATACCGTCTCATTTTAAAAATATACCGTAAATATACTGACGAATTCAAATTCTATTTTACATATTCTTCGTTTTTGATATTCCGTCGAATATTACTAGCTATAAAGATCTCACAGCTTTGCCCACATAATTTTATATGATTTACTAATTAATTTTGTTCAAGATAAACTACTTTTAAGCACTCGCATGTTTTTTATTTTGACAAAAACACGGTTTCAACAAAAACTACAGTCGCAGTGTTGTGACGTCAATGTTGCAGACTCATTGCTTGTCAACCAGAGTATGGGCATTTGTATACCCTATTTCGTTAATATTATATAAAGATACTGTCTCAGATTGCATTTTGTTGGCCTATGAATGCATTTGATTAGTTTCTTGTATATAAATCCTGATCCCTGTACCAATTATTGGCCTCTGTAAGACCACTAATTGCAAAATATCGTTGAAATACCTTTAAAACAGAGAATGTCTAGTTTCTGCATTAATTAGAGCAGAGAATGTCAAAAATTTTCTCAACTCTATAACATCCATTCCCCCCAGGGTATGAGTATGCATGGAATTGGCAAAATTTGTATTTGGAATGGGACTCATTTGTTGCGAACCGGTCATTGCCAAATTTATCTTCCGTCGATTGAATGAAGAGTTCTGGCAGTTTTATTATGTATGATTGCTCCCTTTGTCATATCGTTCAATAAAATATAATTATGATTACCCGCTACGATATTGAACTATTTTCTTTACGATATATCTGCAGCAGCTGCTGGGTGTGTTCACACTAGACTTAAAGCCAGTGCTGGAAAGTTACACGATTAATCGATTCTGCTGCAGTCGGCACACCAAAAACCATTTCGAATATTACATTTGAGTTTTTTTTTTAATTAGTTAGACCATAAACCCTAGGTATTACGCATCCAACAGCCATGTCTGACGTGTACATTGTGTCCGCAGCCCGCACGCCTATAGGTAAACAAATCGAACCAAATATCCAAATTCCAATTGGTAACTTTCTCTTTCTGGCACCGACGCCCTACGACTCAACAGGTAGCTTCTGTGAAACGCTTTCTAAACTGAAAGCCTCCGATCTGGGCAGCGTGGTCATCCAGGAAGTGCTCAAGCGGGCGAGTGTGGAGCCCGAAAATGTCAACGAAGTCATCATGGGTCAGGTATTCAAATCATATCATACCAAATTGCTTATCTTAGGTCGTTTTGCTGCGTCGGAGAATGGTTTGGTTGCTTAATTATTTGTTATGTAAATCTTTGCCAGGCGCTCACTGCGGGTCAGGGCCAGAACCCCGCTCGTCAGGCCTCTCTCAAGGCGGGCCTCCCCATTCAAGTGCCAGCCTATGGCATCAATATGCTCTGTGGTTCAGGTCTCAAGTGAGTTTTGAGTGAGCTCTCCTTTAGGAATCCGTCCATTCTAATGCCATTCTTCAACTTTGAAGAACCGTTGTCCTGGGCTATCAGTCCATTCGTTCTGGGGATGCCAACATCGTAATTGCTGGCGGCCAGGAGAGCATGTCCCTGGCTCCCCATGTCATGCATTTGCGGCAGGGTGTGAAAATGGGCTCGAGCAGCTTTGTTGATTCGATGCTCCATGACGGGCTCACAGATGCCATGGAGAACATCCACATGGGCGTCACCGCAGAGATTCTCGCCGAGAAATATAACCTGAGTCGGGAGGCCCAGGACTCGTACGCCGTTCAGTCACAGACACGGGCAGAGGAGGCCCAGCAAAAGGGCTACTTTGACAAGGAGATTGTCCCCGTGGAGATCAAGGATCGAAAGGGCACTCAAATCTTTAGCAAGGATGAGTACATCAAGGCGGGCAGCACTGTCGAGGGCGTGCAGAAGCTGAGGGCCGCCTTCAAGGAGGGCGGCACCGTTACCGCTGGCAATGCTTCGGGTGTGAATGATTCCGCTGCCGCCGTCCTGCTGATGTCCGGCGAGGAGGTCACCAAAAAGGGTCTGAAACCGCTGGCCAAGATTGTGGGTTGGACGCAGAGTGGAATCGAGCCCAGGGTCATGGGTCTGGGACCGGTTACAGCTGTGGAAGCCTTGGTAAACCATAAACCCATCCCAGCCATTTCTGGCCTCTTTTTTCTCATATTTCCTCTTGCTTTTAGTTGACGAAAATCTCGTGGAAACGCGACGAAGTCGATCTGTATGAGCTGAACGAAGCCTTTGCTGCCCAATCCCTGGCTGTGCTAAAGGATCTGCAGTTGGATGCCAGCAAAGTGAATGTGAACGGAGGTGCGATTGCTTTGGGCCATCCGATTGGTGCCTCGGGTGCCCGTGTCCTTGTCACGCTGCTCTATGCCTTGGAGCGCACTGGCGGTCGTCGTGGTATCGCCTCCCTCTGCATCGGTGGCGGCATGGGCATTGCTGTGGCCATCGAGCGTGTCGTCTAATCCTGCTCTATCTCTCTCTCTCTTAGTCATTCAATCTAATTTATTATCCGCTGGTGCCTGTTCTCTCAAATTAAGCATAGATTTGCAATTCTTCTGCTGTATTCCTCGCTAGGTATTTTAACCGTACTTACAATAGATTTTTTGTGTTTGCCAAATAAAATCCAGAAAGAAATCCAATTATAGAATTGCCAATTTCCTGCCTGAGTCGTGCATCGCGCGTTTTCTCAATTAAAATTTCTCTTATTTGTTGGAGGCACAACCCATTTATTTAGTTGTTGCTTTTGTGTATACATAAAATACAAACATATTTGTACAATGGGAAGGTCAAAGGCTAATTCAGCATTTACACTGCGTTTCGGGAGTAGGTATAACATATAAATTTCTCTATTCTATTCAAAATTTGCTTCAGTTTCGGTTATCCGTATAAATTTTAGCTAAAAAATGATGCCTATTTTAGTATATGATAAATTAGTTTGTCTATTACAATCTGTTAGAAAGGTCTTAGCATTATGACATGCACTGTAGCCGAGAGTGCGAAATGTTTATAGTAGATTTTCTCTCTCATTACTGAATAGCATTTTGTTGTACGATTCGTAGAATTTTGATGAGATGCAGCGGCAGCGGCGTGCATTATTTGCGAGTCGAAGCTCTTGGGTAATGATATCATCATATGCCACTTCCAGTGCCACCTTCCCAGCAGCTCGTTGGATGCGTCATCTCCAGCTCTTTCGGAAGCCTGGGCGAAAAGCCATACGGATTGGTGCACACGATGCGTTGGGCGGGCGCCGTCTGGGCCACCTCCTGCATGGAGGGCACACAGATCTGGGCAAAGCTGCTGATGAAGTTCGACCAGAGGGTGGGCTGGCAGCCAATGGCAAAGTACGAGCCCCACAGCTGCGAATCCAGCTCGGCGAAATATGGATAGTTCTTCTCCTCCATCAGCAGCTCCTCGGCAATAGCCACGGCATCAAAGTCTCGATGCCTCACGGGCGTGTAGACATCCTGGATGATGTTGTCGCCAAAGTACAGGGCCCTGGCCTGGGCGGGTTCTTTGTTTAGCAGCCGCGCGAGTGCTTTGTGCAGCTGATGCCAGTTGCCTTGCGAGTAGAGCTCCCCCGGCTTGAGTATCCCTGCATCCTGTGGCAGCTCCGTGTTGGCCAGCTCCTTCAGCTCCCTCACATCCACCTGCAGGAAGGGACGCTGAATGGTAAAGAACCCCGGCTTCTTGGCGTAGGTCACCACAAAATCGAAATACTCCTGCCAGTCCTTGCCCAGCGCTTGGGTCGCCGTCAGATTGGCAAAATCAATGTTGGAGCCCGTCAGCAGGAAGAGTTTCTTGCCGGATTTCCTCAGTGCCGACAGCCAGTCCATCACGCTGCTGTCCGTGCACAGGACATACTTCTGAGGATCCGCCCGCATGCCCTTGAAGTACAAGCTGATGTCGTTGGAAAAGTGATCTCTGCTGAAGATGTGCATGAGACCGGCCTGCAGATCGCGCCACACTTCGTACTCCTGCGGCGGCGACTCGCTCTCCTTGTCCACCAAGTCCACGGCCTGGGCAAACACCAACGCGCTGGGCGTATCAAAGTAGTCCAGCAGGGAGCGCATCTGCTCGGAGGCCGCACCGTTCCAGGTGGAAAGCGGGTCCTTGTAGAAGGATGTGGTGATCGCCCATTGCCGCTCTGGTCCGTAGATGGCCACGATTTCTTCGTCTGTCAGTAGCCGGGTGCCATGTGTGGCCCTCAGGATCTGCGCCTCGCTGCTCAGCTTCAGGATATTGCCGCGCGGCCCATCCAGGAACAGACCCTTCTGCAGAAAGTCCAGATCCATGGGCAGCTTCAGCAGCTGCTCGGAGTAACCCTTGTTATCGACCAGATACCGCTTCAGCACGTCGTAGATTAGGGCCGACATGTTGGTGAGATTGTAGCGCAGCAGAGTGCCGTCCAGGTCGAACCCAATGATGTCATAGTCCTTGAGAGACAGCTCCTTGCAGTAGGAGGTCATGATGGTGCTAGCAGAATATCGCGAATAACTGCGGCCAGCAAAACCGTGGATCACTCTTCGCGTCGTCTGGACCGTAAACGTTTTCGTGTGCTCTCGTTCACGCGGTGCTGTTGCTGTTGCTTTTGCTGCTGCTGCTGTCGTTGGGGCTCTAAACGTCATTGAATTTTGCGCCAAATTCATATAATTACGTAATAAACGCAAAACATCTGTTCGATATCTGTGCGTGTGTGCGTTTGTTTTTGTTGATGTGGCGTACAAAATCGAGCTGGAACTGGTAAAGGCCCCCAGATTGTGGCCCGATCTGCCCAAGGCCTGCATTTTATCTTATCCGCTAGCACATCTCACTTCCCCGAACTTAAGGTCTAAAATTATTAAAGATTGCACATTTTTCCTATCGTCGCTTGTTGTTTTTTGTTTTGTTTGTTTTTTTTTTTTTAGTGTTGTTAAGTGATTTCTCCTCCCATCTTTCCGATAGCAACACAGTGTCGATATCTGTCGATATCTATCTTCTATGGTTATCGAAAAATTCGGATTTTTTTCTTCAGCTATCGCCTTCGGGTAACGCCTGGGTGCCATCTCTAGCCATCATTCGGAGAATTGTTTCTATTATTTTTTGATTTTCTGCTAATTTTCCGCCATTTAATCGGTCATTTGTGGTCAGATTGTTGGCTTTTAGGCCAATACCGCTCGAGCCATGTCCAACTGCATTGAAATACCCCTGCAGGACACCGATGAGGTGAGTTTTTGAGGGGTTTTGACTGATTTTCGCCACAGAATGGCAATATGTTTTCGCATTTTCGTAGGTCATTGAGGTGGATCCCGATCAACTGCCGGACTGCCTGGAGGTCCTGAGTATCCTCAAGCAGGAGCGCGCCCCATTACATGTATGGGTGAATGTGTCGGTGAGTAAAAGGAGTCTGCTTCTATCCGCTGATTCCACTGCTAATGGTGGCCACATGGTGCTCTGCTCTGCTCTCTTCTAGCTGGCATACTACAAGCAGAAAAAGACCGATGATTTCGTCACGCTGCTGGAGGACTCGCGGGGGCCCGAGGCCAACAAGGAGTATCGGGACTCGGACAAGGATCTCATGCGCGCTCTGGACATGCTGGCCGCCCACTATGTCCAGGAGGCCTATCGCGAGAAGTCCAAGGACAAGAAACGAGAGCTCTTCATGAAGGCCACGAACCTCTACACGAATGCCGACAAAATTATCATGTACGATCAGAGCCATCTGCTAGGTAGGGCCTACTTCTGCCTGCTGGAGGGCGACAAGATGGACCAGGCGGACGCACAGTTCAACTTTGTGCTGAATCAATCGCCCTCGAACATCCCCTCGCTGCTGGGCAAGGCGTGCATTGCCTTCAATCGCAAGGACTATCGCGGTGCAATGGCCTTCTACAAGAAAGCCCTTCGAACGAACCCCAACTGCCCGGCAAATGTGCGGATAGGCATGGCCCACTGTTTCCTCAAGATGGGCAATCCCGAGAAGGCGAAACTCGCCTTCGAGCGAGCCCTGCAGCTCGACCAGCAATGCGTGGGCGCCCTCATAGGCCTGGCCGTGCTGAAGCTCAATCAACTGGAGCCCGAATCGAATAAATTGGGTGTCCAGATGCTCTCCAAGGCCTACACCATCGATAATGCCAATCCCATGGTGCTCAATCACCTCGCTAACCATTTCTTCTTCAAAAAGGACTACCAGAAGGTCCATCATCTCGCACTGCATGCCTTCCACAACACAGAGAACGAGGCAATGCGCGCCGAAAGCTGCTACCAGCTGGCCAGGAGTTTCCATGCCCAAAGCGACTACGATCAGGCGTTTCAATACTACTACCAATCCACACAAATAGCGCCGGCAAACTTTGTCCTGCCACACTATGGCCTGGGCCAGATGTACATCTATCGCGGGGATACCGAGAATGTAAGTTCAAGGAGGGGTTTCGCAAGAGAATTACTTATAATTGTGGCACTTTTCAGGCTGCCCAATGCTTTGAGAAGGTACTCAAGATTCAGCCAGGGAACTACGAGACAATGAAGATCCTTGGCTCGCTGTATGCTCACTCCAACTCGCAGTCGAAACGAGACATGGCCAAGACGCACCTGAAGAAGGTAACCGAACAGTTCCCGGACGATATCGAGGCCTGGATAGAGCTCGCCCAGATCCTCGAGCAAAACGATCTGGCTGCCTCGCTGGCGGCATACGGCACGGCATCGAAGATTCTGAAGGACAAGGCCAAGTATGAGATTCCTGCAGAGATCCAGAACAATGTCTCGTCGCTGCACTACCGCCTGGGGGATCTGATTGAGGCGAAGGTGAAGCTGGAGTCGGCGCTGCAGCATGCCATCTCCGAGATGGACAAGGATGTCAAGTACTACGAGTCCATTCAGGTCACCATGAAGTACAATCTGGCGCGGCTGAACGAGGCCATGAGCAGCTACGATGTGGCCGACAAGCTGTATAAGGAGATCCTCAAGGAGCACCCGAACTACATCGACTGCTACCTCCGTCTCGGGTGCATGGCCAGAGACAAGGGCCTGATATTCGTGGCCTCGGATTTCTTCAAGGATGCTCTGAACATCAACAACGACAATCCGGATGCTCGCTCGCTGCTGGGCAATCTTCATTTGGCCAAAATGCAGTTTGCTTTGGGACAAAAGAACTTTGAGACGATCCTCAAGAATCCAGCCACATCCACGGACGCCTACTCCCTGATAGCCCTTGGGAACTTCTCCCTCCAGACGTTGCATCAACCGAGCCGGGACAAGGAGAAGGAGCGCAAGCATCAGGAGAAGGCACTGGCCATATTCAAGCAGGTCCTGCGCAACGATCCTCGCAATATTTGGGCCACAAACGGCATTGGTGCTGTGCTGGCCCACAAGGGATGTGTAATCGAGGCACGAGACATCTTTGCACAAGTGCGCGAGGCCACCGCCGACTTCTCGGACGTCTGGCTGAACATTGCCCACGTTTACGTGGAGCAAAAGCAGTACATCAGCGCCATTCAGATGTACGAGAACTGCATGAAGAAGTTCTACAAGCACAACAACGTTGAGGTGATGCAGTACCTGGCGAGGGCCTACCTGCGGGCCAATAAACTGGTGGAGGCCAAGGCCGTGCTGCTCAAGGCGCGCCGTGTGGCCCCCCAGGACACTGTGCTGCTGTTCAACATTGCCGTAGTGCTCTCCCGCCTGGCCATGGCCATTCTAAAGGATGAGAAATCCACCCTAGAGGTGGTCCTGCAAGCTGTCCACGAACTGGAGTTGGCGCACAAGTAAGTCCCTCTTGCCCCCGCCTAAACCGTCTGCGTATCCCTTTTCTAATCCTTCATTCTCATCCCCAGATACTTTCAGTATCTATCCGTTCATGGCGACAAGAATCGATTCAACATTGAGGTCGCAGGCGTGGAGGCCAACACCTGCCAGGATCTCCTGTCGCAGGCCCAATACCATGTGGGTCGTGCCCGTCGCATCGACGAGGAGGAGCGTTCGTTGCGCCGCAAGCAGGAGGAGGAGCGCGAGGCCTTCAAGCTGAAGGTCGCCGAGCAGCGCAAGCGGCGCGAGGAGGAGGCCCAGACGTCGCGCGACCAGCTGCTGGCTAAGCGCCAGGAGTATGTGGAGAAGACCAAGAACCTGCTTATCATTGCCGATGCCCCGGACAAGGAGCGCAAAAAGGGCAGCGGCAGGCCACGCAAGGATGACTACATCTCGGGCAGCGACAGCAACGAGGGTGGACCGCGCGAGGGGGGCGAACGCCCTGCCAAAAAGAAGAGCAAAGGCGAGCGCAAGAAGGGCGGCAGCGGACGCAAGCGCAAGACGGAGAAATACGAGAGCGACAGCGAGGAGGAGCCCAGTGGCGGTGGCCAAAAGCCAGGGAAACGGAAGAGCAAGAAGTCCAAGCCGGGAGCAGGAGCCAAGGACTCCAAGGAGAAGCTGTCGGCCAAGCAGCGTCTCAAAATCGTGTCCAAGGAAACCATCTCCACGAGCGAGTCGGAGAGCGATGGCAAACGGCGAAGTAGGAGCAGAAGTCGCAGTGGCAGCCGAGCCAGTCGTTCCCACAGCGACAGTCGCAGCGGCAGTGGCAGCGATCGTGGCCGCAAGCGCAGTAGGAGTCCGAGTGGCTCTGGCAGTGGCAGCGATAGCGATGGAGCCGCCAAGCGTAAGAGGGCCAAGAATCGCATTGAGTCCGGCGGCGAATCGGACAAATCGCGCTCTCCATCGCGCTCGAAATCTGGATCCCGTGGCAGATCCCGCTCCAAGTCCGGTTCCCGTGCCAAATCACGCTCCCGCTCCAAGTCTGGGTCCCGCTCCCGATCACGCTCCAGGTCCAAGTCCAAGTCCAGGTCCCGCTCCAAGTCCGGCTCCCGATCCCGCTCTCGATCACGCTCCAAATCTGGCTCTCGTTCTCGCTCCCGTTCCCGTTCAAAGTCTGGCTCTCGCTCTCGCTCCCGTTCAAAGTCTGGCTCAAGGTCAAGGTCAGGGTCTCGATCGCGCTCTCGATCTGGCAGCAGATCCAGGTCCGGATCACGCAGTCCCTCCGGCTCGCCGTCTCCTGCAGCAAACTAAAAGACACAGCCAGCGGCGCTTTATAAGATATTTTCGACTATATTTAGTGTTTCCTTTGAGAGTTGCAAAGATTATAATAAAAAGAATTTGCCGCCACAAAAAAGCCAGTGGAGGAGGATTCCCACTAGAGATCCTGGGGCTTCGATTGCACATCAGTTTCTGAGGTTCTGCTGGATCATTTCCCGGACAATCGCTGCCACCGGCTGCGAGTGACGCAGGACAAAGGCATGGTCAATTTTTTGGCCATCCAGCGTGGCGTCCACCTGGGGATAGTCTTTCTTAAGCTGCTCGTAGTAGGAGACGGGCACCCAGCCATCCGTGGTGCCGTAATAGAACTTCAGCAAATGGAGATTCCTTTCGATAATCTCCTTCTGGAGGCCGCGCACACGGCACATCTCATCATCGGCGAGGAACACCACCTTCTCGGCCACCGAGGGTTTCGAGTACTGGAGGGCGGTGTCGAGGAACGAGCGCGGTATGGAGAAGATGAGAAAGTAGATCTGGATGAGGAAGAGGCGCAGCCAGACGGGCAGGGCATTGAAGAATTTGAAGAAGACGTAGCCAAACACCGAGTACAGGGGCATGGCGAGCTTGGTGAAGACCCAGCCGTTGGGCGACTCGATCATCCGCTCGACTGTGGGGAAGAGCATGTAGCACTTTTGGACACGGCTCCGCACGCTCTCGTCCTCCAGCATCTGGAGAATCATCCACGCGCCAATCGAATGTCCGATTAGATGGATCTTCACATCTTTGGGCACGTACTTCTTGATGAACGCCAACTTGTGTTTGATCTGTCCGTCGAGATTGAAGATCTCCTCGTTGCCTGTCAGCTGGGGTACCTCGCGGATGCTCGCCTCTGGCGGATCGTCATGGCCCGCGTGTCCTGTACAGAATAAGCGAAAAAATAAAGGAACATTCTTTTGGGATGGCTCTAGCACCTTCTCTCACCAATCACCCACACCGGGAGGTCACCCAATTGCTTCTGCAGGGTGCTGGCAAACTCCGTGTAGAAGCCCGGGAGCCCCGGGTTGCCTGTTATACAAATGACGAGCTCCTTCTCGGTGACCGTCTCCTCGATCCACCTGCCCCACGTGAGTATATGGGTGGGTATGGAGTTGATGTTCACGTAGGCCTCTTGCATTTTCACGGAGGCTCTTGCTGTTTTGGCTGTGTTAGCGTGGCAAATTGCGGTGAAAATCAATCAAACACCTGCGCTGCCCCAAAAACTCAGCTCCGTCCACATGCGGCAACCGGTTTCGCGTTTTCTCTCTCTATCTCTCTCTGTCTCTCACTACCGCTGCAATCCACCAGACGAATGTCCGTTAACTGAGGGTTTGAATGCAGACGAAATGGCGCGATTAATCTCGTCTGATCTGTGATAACGTTATTCCGTTTTCGCCTAATCTTTTATGACAATCGAACAAAGGTCAGCGGTTCTCGGTGTGCGGGGACGGCGGGGCGGTCGGTTTGTCCAGCACTAGCAACGCTGCCAACTGGCGCCGAAATTAGTGCTTGCCAAATTTGTGCGGGCAAATTGATATTATAAAAAAATTGTCACGATTTGATAGAAATTAATTTCGAAATTATTGCATTTGTACTGTGCAGCAGGAAATTTCTTTAATTATCTATTTCTAATTAATTTTTTAGTTAAAGCACTGGCAGATTTCACAAAAACAAGCAGTTCAGAGACAGTACTAGCACTGCCAACCTGACTACAAAAAAATATGCTAATTTTGGCGCGCAGATTGAAATGACATATATTTTGTCAAATCATTGCCGTTCCTACAAACATATTTCAAACATATTTCCACATTAAACTAAGCAAAAAGTGCAGGAATGTCATTATTGTGTACAAATATTCATAATTTCAAATTCAAAAGTCATAATTTAAGCAGCACTAAAGCAGATTCAGGTTCGGAGCTTAAAATTTTAAAATAATTTTGACATATCCGAATATTGTATTCCAACGTAGTTGTATAGCGGGCAATGAATTGTTATAGTGTAAACAAGCATAGAACTTAATAGAGCCCATTTCCCACAAGTTGGCAGGCCGCAACAATTATTTGTTGGTTTTTTTGTTGCGGTTTTCCTTTTAGTTTTTTCTAGAAACGCCGAAAAAATCAACAATAAACAAAAATAAATTTCAGTTAACAAACGAGTTCAACGGAAAGCCATGGCCCTGTATTGCTGGGGCGACGCCTCGCACGGTCAATTGGGGCTCGGTGGCATCGAGAATGAGCAGGTGAGTTTTGTGCACAAGCACACAAGGAATGGAATACATTTGGATACCCCATTAACAAACTGTCGGGTTTGATTTTCTTGTATTGTTCGTCTGCAGATCCTTCTACCTAGTCAGATAGAGTTTAAGCCCGATTCGCCGGTGCAACAGATTGCCTGCGGACATCGCCACACGCTCTTCCTCACTGCCAACGGTCAGGTGTACGCCTGCGGAAACAACGATCACCACCAGCTTGGCCACGAGTTGCCCACCAAAAGGCCACGTATGTCGCCGTTTAGTATGTAAATTTCATTAATCGTGTTTTGTACTCTCTTTCATCACTAAATATTCTATCCATCCATGACTCGAAGAACCGGCATCAAATGACTACCCATTCAACCGCTCGCTTCTTCTCGCTCTTTTTCAGTTCCGATACCTGAGCTGCAGGCCTATGTTGTCATCCAGATTGCCTGTGGCAGCCGCCATTCCATGGCACTCACGGAATGGGGCCAGATCCTGAGCTGGGGCGACAACGATTGCGGACAGGTGGGCCATTCCACCGATAACGATGTCATTGAGCTGCCAAAGATCTTGCGCTTTCTAGTGTCCAGAACGGTGGTGCAGATTGCGTGCGGCAACAATCACAGTCTGGCACTCACGAGCTGTAAGTAGCCTCTACCTCTCTGAAGCATTCCCACCCTATAGTGTACCCCCCTCCTTTTAGGTGGCGAACTCTACTCCTGGGGCTCCAACATCTATGGCCAGCTGGGCGTCCAGTCGCCCAAAGATCTGCCGCACTCCAATGCCCCTCTGCGGCTGACGACCATCTTGGGCATCCCACTGGCCACCATCGCATGTGGGGGCAACCATTCTTTCCTCATCTCCAAGTCCAGTGCAGTGTTCGGCTGGGGCAAGAACACTTGCGGCCAGCTGGGGCTCAATGACGAGCAGAATCGTGCGTATCCCTCGCAACTGAAGTCAATGCGCACACTGGGCGTGAGATTCGTAACCTGCGGTGACGAGTATTCCGTGTTCCTCACCAACGAGGGAGGCGTCTTCACCTGCGGTGCTGGCAACTACGGCCAGCTGGGGCATGGCGTCAGCAACAACGAGATGATACCCCGCATGGTCATAGAACTGATGGGCAGCACCATCACCCAGGTGGCCTGCGGCAATCGGCACACGCTCGCGCTGGTTCCCTCCGGCGGTCGAGTGTACAGCTTTGGTTTGGGCGCCTCCGGGCAGCTTGGAACGCGAAACACTATAAGTCAGACGCTGCCCAAGGTGGTCATCGGTCCCTGGGTCTCGCCCAGTGGCTCCGCATTGATGGAGTCCAGCGAAGGGGCCGATAAATCTGTGGTCATTCGGAAAATCTTCTCCGGCGGAGATCAGTCGATTGTGACGACCACTTTCTACGTGGACAAGGTGCCGCCCGAGGATTTGCGCAGCTACAAGTGGGAAAAAGACTCAAGAGACTTCTGCTGCAAAAACGAAACTAATGCTATTTTCTTTCTCTGTCTTTGTTGCAGCCCCAAGTCCCAGATCCTCTCGCTGACGGCAGAGGCCACACAGAAGTGCGCGCATATCAAGCAGAGCGACCTGGATCTCCTGCAGTCCATGGAGGTGATCTTCAAGAGCCAGGCGTGCCTGAACGGCTCGTTTCTGCTCTCGAACGACAAGCATTTTGGCTGCTCTGCACGCAATTATGGACTGGATCTGAAGGCCGCCGAGGTGGCATTCGATCATCTACGAAGTGTGGAGAACGAGAGCATCAAGCAGGTGGTGCGTACATCTTCCATGACAGCCTTGAATCCCCAATCACCAATCCCTCCACCCCACCCATCTTTGATCCCTCTGTGATCCGATCCTATCCTCAAATGTAGATCTGGGATAATGTAACAAAAGAATTGATTACTTCGCTGGTGGCCTCCCCAGCCGATAAGGAGAGCCTGCGCGTGTACCTGCTGCTGCCGCTGTACCATGAGTTCATGAACTCCAAGCACTACAAGACGCTGCAGGCGCCCTTGGCCAGTGCCATATTGAAACTGACGGAGAATCCGAGCAAGGTGCTACACAAATGGCTGGCCCAAACGCCAGTGGATTACTTCGAGCGTCTGGTTAACATATTTCTGCACGTGGTGATTCACATCATCAGCTTCAAAATGGGTCTGATGGCCACCAGTCCAACGTTGGAGAGTTCCCAAGAGGTGAGGATTTGGATTTGATTTCATTACCGACCACCACCACTAACGCCATCATCCCTTTTAGCTGATGCCATACAATGCTGATTTGGATGTCATTCTGAAGGTAATGAATGTCCTCTTCATCATTAACAACTCCCGCAAGGAACGTGTAAGCTATCAGATATTCTACTGGCCCGAACTCGACTGGTATGTAAACGTCAAGCAGGAGTTTGTGAAATGGATAATGGGGAGCCCGAACGAGTTTAGCATTTGTAATTTTTCATTCCTATTCGATGCGTCGGCCAAGACATCGATGCTCCAGGCGGATCAAGTGGTCCAAATGCATTCAGCGATGGCCAATGCGGCCAACAATGTGAGTGCACTTCCCATCCTGCCTGGCCCTGGCCCTGGCTCCAACCTACCCTCTGCTACGTCTACCTCTACCTACCTCTCTCTTGGCTTCTCTACATCATAGCAGGGCATCTTCAATCTCTTTAACTATGGCATGCCCATCTCGCACTACATCGTTCTGAATGTGACGCGGGAGAACTTAGTCCAGGACTCCCTTCGCGAGCTGCAGCATTACTCGCAGAGTGATCTCAAGAAGCCGCTGAAGATCAAGTTCCAGGACGAGGAAGCTGAGGATGCTGGCGGTGTGCGCAAGGAGTTCTTCATGCTGCTGCTCAAGGATCTGCTCGATCCGAAGTACAGCATGTTCAAGGAGTTGGAGGAGTCGCGTGTACTGTGGTTCGCGGACGTCACCTATGAAACGGAGAACATGTACTACCTCATCGGCGTGCTCTGCGGACTGGCCATCTATAATTTTACAATCATCAATCTGCCCTTTCCCCTGGCCCTCTACAAGAAGCTGCTAAACAAACCCGTCGATCTGAGTGATCTGCGACAGCTGTCGCCGGCGGAGGCCAATTCTCTGCAGGCACTGCTCGACTATGACGGCGAGAACTTTTCGGACACCTTCGAGCTTAATTTTGAGATATCACGCCAGGTCTTCGGGGTGACGCAGACGCTCAGCCTTAAGCCGAATGGAGAAGATATTGCCGTCACCATGGAGAACAGACAGGAGTTTGTGGAACTGTATGTGGACTTTGTGATCAACAAGGCATCGGAGGTGCACTACAAAGCCTTCCACAAGGGCTTCATGAAGGTCTGCTCCGGTCGCGTCATCAACGTATTCCAGCCGGAGGAGCTGATGGCCGTGGTGGTGGGAAATGAGGACTATGACTGGCAGGCACTCGAAGACAATTGCGAGTACAAAGAAGGCTACTCTTCAGGCGATGAGACAGTGAGTGGAATCAGAAATCCCCAAAGGATATAGAGTATATATGTGAATACTTTTTCTTATTCTTTTTAGATCAAATGGTTCTGGGAGGTGATCCATGATCTATCCGAAGCGGAAAAGAGAAACTTCCTGCTGTATTTAACAGGCAGCGATCGTATACCTATTCAGGGTATGAGGGCCCTCGGGGTGAGTAAAACCCATGTTCCATTATGAGCAGCAATATATGGACAATCCACGAAATTCCAGTTCACTATACAACCAACTACCGATGAACGTTTCCTGCCAGTGGCCCATACATGCTTCAATCTGCTGGATCTGCCACGCTACAGGACCAAGGAGCGCCTCAAATTCAAACTGCTGCAGGCCATACAGCAAACGCAGGGATTTAGTCTGGTCTGATCCTCCGATCGATCGGAATTGGTGAGGGCGGGAATGGAAGGGTAGAATGGATTTAAGCTAAACGTACAGGAAAACACACACACAACCCACACAGAGACACACATTTATCAGCGATCAAATCAACTAAAATAATGTTGTGTTTATGGCTTTAAATTGTTAGCTAGTTATCAATCAAAATACCACACTGTTATAGAACGAATGAGAGAAGAAAAACAAATAAATCGGTGAGATAAAAGGTCTGAATAGCGATAACGATAAAGGCAGTAATCGATTGTTAGACCGAAGCAGGTTGGCAGCCCCGAACAGCTGTTTTTGGCGAAATGTCAATGTGGCGGCAAATCATTTTTCGAGTCCCGCAGAGTCGGTTGTCAGTTAAGCTTTAACTTTCCGCCGCGCCACCGCGTTCGCCTTTGCCCAACAGCTGCCCCACGCCACCCGCCGAATTAATTGTTAAGAACATTTTTGGACACTAATTTGTATGCTGAGGAGTCCGTGCGGTGCATAACATTATAAACGAATACGAATATCTACACAGTTTGTAAGCAGTGCAAGTGTTGTTGTGCGATCGCTTTTTGTGGCTGTGTCGCCGTTGACGCCGCTGCCGCTGCCGCTGCTGCCATTGCCGGGTCAAGCTAACGGTACCCGCATCGAAAAAGAAATTCAAACAGGTACAAAAACAAAACAAGAAACAGAAAGAAAAAACAAAGGTAACGACTTGGGGGACAGTCGGTGAAATTATGGGGTACTTAGCGTACCAGCCACCTCTGTCTCTGGCTCTACAGCGCATTTGCTTTCATTTATCAAATGTGTCGTCTGCCATCGTTTGGCCAACTTCTTAATCCACTGCCATGGCCACTGCCATTGCCACTGCTTCCCTTCCGTCCACTCCACCGATGGCTGCCAGCTAAGCTGCCAACTTGACGATGCATCAAAATTGGGGCCATAAAATCAATTACACTGACAATTTTTGCATATCCTGACGGCTAACAAATATGTGGTAGTGTGGCACCGCCACCTAACAAGATACGAGGAGAGTACGGTGCCAGTATATGTATGTAGGAGCTGCCACAGCGGGAACGTGAAATAAAATAAGATACAAAATAAATATACAAAAAAAGCGGTTCTGCCGGTTTGCCCCCTGGTTGATCTCGTCGTCGCCGTCGTTGGTATTCGGTCGGTCGTGATCTGCAGCGTCTTCCGTTGCCCGTTGCCTGCTTTCTTTCTTCTTCCTTTGCACGATTTGAACTTGCGACACCAACAACAACAGCAACAACAACAAAAGCCACAAAGAGGAGCACAAATCTGGTTTATGCTTATGCGATTGTGGTGTTCCTCTAATAAAGCGAGCGTTTACGCTGATGAAGAAGACCCACACACCATACACCCCATACCCCCCACATATCCCATGGTGCACTCTCTCTCTCTCACTTTTTCGCAGACCCACACGCACATTCGCTTCCTGGAGGGAAGCTTCCTTTTCGCACTCACCTGCACTCACTCCAGGGTACATTGAATGGTGAGGTAGTGCTCTCTCTCCTGCTCTTTGAGGTGTCACATGGATTACAGTTTAGCAGTGGAAGGATCTTCTTTCCAACTCACCTTACTCAGGGTACATAGAATGACAGTCTTCCCTTCCGTCTTTCTAAGCTCTGACGCTCTCTTCAGACGCAGGAGTCGAAAGCCCTGGAAGGGTCTAACAGCCTCCGCACACATTGCTTTGCTCTCTTCAATGGCAGAAGTGGATCACTTTGCCTCACCTTCCATTTGAATACACCTTGACCTACCTCTTGGGATTCCGTTTCCTTGTGTGGCACCAATCTTTCTGCTTTTCCTCTTCTCTTCCCTTCCCTTTCCTTTCCTTTCCTTTCCCTTTCCTTTGTGGCAAGTTTGTTTGCCTAGGGTTTTATAGCAGGAACAAACAAAAAGCCACACACAAAGAGGGTCAACATTGTCTATCTCTCCATAAGTAGGGGATATACAGGGGAGTGTATACATATTTAAGTCCTCGCTCTGTGTGTGTGTGTTTGTGCTATGAGTAATCATTATTCCAGTCGATGGAAATATTGACCGACCTTCCGCCACACCACCAGACAGACCGAAGACTGAGCGAGGGGGAACCAATTGAAATTGTATCAAATTTCGATTTCAATTTCAAACTGTTGAGCGCAGTGCCAGTGCTTCGCTTCATTGAGATGTTGGTTTTGTCTGCGATGTGACCCATTTTCCCCCCCCCAGCCCATTTCTGTGTGCTGTGGCAATAAGCCGCTTAAAAGACTCCCAACTGCCAGTGCAATTGATCGTCAACGCCAGTCAAGTCACCACCCAACAAAATGATTCGCCAAAATCTCCCGCACAGCTGTGCAAACGAAGCGTCACCCCCACCAAACCACCAATCCACCAATCCACCAATGTCATGGCATATGGAATTAAAACGAGTTAAGAGACTCAACAAAAAGATTTCTGTTTTGTTAATGATGTAATTTCCTAACCAACCAAATAGAAACCAAACCAAACCAAACCAAACAGAAGACTAAGTAAAAACAAAAGACCCAAAAGAACAACAGAACACAACAGAAGTGGGTGGACGGACACACAAAATTGCACGCATTTTGCTTCTGGTAATTGCGATTCATCATCGTACTGGTCGTCTCCACCGTCAGGTGATGATTCCCCCAAAAATGTCTCATGTCTCGAACGGATATCGCAAAGCCACCATCTACAAGCTCGTACCGCACCCACACAAGAAATACCATGCATATTACCTAAATAAACTTGAACTTTTGTCTTATCGGTGGTATATGTTTATTGATATCGGAGTGGTGTTATCTTTTGGACGGGGTTCAAACCAATTTTTAGTGATATGACAATCATGATGACAACGATGTGCCTCCCCACCTCATATAGGGTGCCCCGAAATGCGGTTCGGTTCTGATTTCCCGTTTAGCAACTGTTGCATTATGGCTTTCTTTTATTTCCCTCCCGGTCTAGAGTTCGATAAGATAATGAAAATGAAGGGGAAATGCCAAGACCTCGAAACGTACACGAATGTCCATAAGACAGGTGAAGCATTCAGTTTTTTTTTTCACAGAATGAAAGACTTGCAGAAAACGTGATGGATGGACAAACGGACGGATGCCAGACAAATGATATAGCCTGTGGCCAGATCAAGGAGATCACGGAATCTATCGTGTTGGATCCTCCAATAATCAATGGAGTGACTTTGAATGGCTAATGATCTACAGATTAAATAAATGGCATTATTAAACGATCTGCAATGGATCTTAAAGAACATATTTATATAATCATGATCTTTTATGGTAAAAGTCTTTCCAATCTCCCCAGAAAATGTAAAAAATGAATTAATTGGTTAATCCATAAAATATTTTCCCATTTCCTTATGATAATACTGATCCCCCTATTATCAATATATAAACCACAATGTACCCCCACTCTTGCCCCTCTCCCCTCTCCATTCATGGCACCATATGCCCCACACATTATCGACCGCAAATAAATAACAAACCCACAAAAAACAACAAAAAAATCCCCACTCTTGTCTTGTCATAAAACTTCGATTCGATTGATGCGAGCCCCAGCAGAATGGGGCGGCTCCACAATTCCATTTTTCATTTAATTTCATTTCTTTGGACATTTGCAAGAAAGCCACAGTGGAGTGAGCTTCGTCGCGGTGGTGGGGATCGGATCACAATTACAACATCGAAAACTGAAAGCCTGAAAACGGACAAACGGGGAGACCGGCTACTCGGCTACCCGGCTACAGAGGTACTCGGATTTTCACTTTATATTGAAGTTCATAGCGCGGTAAAGTGTCAACCTAAGGGCTTTTCGTGGAAACGAAAAAAAAGAGTCTTGTTCGTGTAATAACAACAACAACAACAGCAGAAACACCAACAAAAAAGGTAAAAACTGCTACTCTTTTTACTTTTTGGCATCGTTTTCAGCTTTAGATACTTTTTTTGCAATTGGCAGTAAAGCCGCGTTCAAGATCACTTCAGTCGCTGCTGCTTGGTGCTGACGCTTTTTATGGCCGGCCATACGCTGAGAAAACAGCCGCAAAAAAATGAGCAAATAAATGTGTGCTGTGCCTTGGTGCTTGTTTAATGCTTAATGGTTATCCGAGAGACCACTTGCCATGCGTCACATCTGTGGCGTGGCGTGGCTCCTCGATACTCGTACATGCCCCGACGTGAGTCAGCGGCAGAGCTTTGCCTCGAGAAATTCGCGAACTTTTTGAATCTTAATTATGGAACAAACTCGATTATCGATTGTGTCGGTCAGCGGCCTTTCAGGTTTTGGGGTTCCAGGGCGAAGAACACTTTCAGTATTCCATTCATGATCCATAGATCAAAGATCTTTAAGAGCCTTCCCCAAAGAGATCTTCATTGAAAACTAAAGAATATCTGTCTCTAAGTCGAACCTCGGCAAAAGCATGTACACATCATGCAGCAGTGCCCCTCGGTCTGTTTTGTTGATGTTTGATTCGTTCTTCTCATAAGTTCTCGTACATTTTTTTTTTATTGAGAAACCTTATTACAGAAAGATTAAAATACAAAAAAAAATTGTTCAAGCTACAGGAAAATTTTGGAGGTTCGGAAGAGGGTTAGGCTCTGGACATTTGCAGCAGATGATAGAGTGGCACAATGTTGGCCGCATTGGCCCTGCCCTCGAGATAGTTCTGGGAGAGCACTTGCCTGCCCTGGAAGACCCCGGGAATGGGGGAGGGCGAGAGGCCGTCGGGGCCGCCGGCCACTTGGTTGTCCACTTCCGTGGAGCCTGCCGAGCGATAGAAGGGATAGTAGGGATAGCCGGGATAGCTGGGATATCCGAAGCCTGGATAGCCGGGGTAGATGCCACCGCCCCATCCGCCAGGATAGCCGCCCGGATAGCCGCCACCCCATCCTGGATAGGATGGGTATCCTCCAAAGTACGGGGGCTGTGGCGGTGGTGGTCCTGGTGGGGGCCCCCATGGAGGCAGCTGTGGTCGTGGCGGATGTGGGGCATGCAGCCAGGGGGGGTACGCGGGTGAAGGCCCGTAGCCGTACTGGCGCGGATGCTGCTGCTCCTCTGGTGGATAATAGTAATGATGTTGTACTGACGGTTTGGGTGTGGTCGTAGACGACGAGCCGCCGGCCATCACCAATTTGATCCCACCCTTACCGATAGTCTTCAGCAGGTGATCGTCGATGCCGCGACCCGAGGACGATGCCAGGGTGTCGTCGAGGATCTGCTGTTGCTTGTCATTGCGCGCCTGTCCTGCCACGAGGCTCGTCTGCACCGGGGCCTTGTCCTGGAAGGAGAGGGAGCCCCCCAGGAGCGAGAGGAGAACTGCAGGAAGATGATAGGTAGATCCCGGTATTAGTGGACTCGTTCGAAGGACTTCCAGCGACTGAAAGACTTACCCAACCACAATGCCGATACTCGTGGATCCATGATCATCGAGGGAATGTTTTCTAAATGCACCTGCACTCCGTATTTATACCCCATTCGAATGCCCCAAAGATGCATCTTCTAATGGAGATAATCTGTGGGGCGGGGGGTTGAGGTCGATCTTTTTCCCTGTTTTTCTCATTAGAATAATTCTCGTATCTAATGCAGCATCCATTCCATTCCATTGATTGAGTGTGCCCCAAATTTGGAATCGCTTTCAACGGAGAACCAGAACTCCATTCATTTGCATACAAATCTCTTTTCGTTCTCTTTGAGTTCTCTTCTATGCCCCCAAGCCCACTAGAAAAAGGGTTCAATACCTCCAATATCCCCCCACGGAATGCTATCTCTTCTGTTGATATATGACGTCATTTGTATGCATAAACCTATTTTACAAAATTTTTGGTGCGCTTTGTGGAACCCACTTTCGGGGTTCCGTTTCAGACATATTTATAGTCTTTCGAGGAGGGTTCTCGGCTCTCTTCGGGTCTATTACATCATAGACGGAGTGGGAGCCTACGTTTGTGGAGCAGCGGAACTGGTTTCTTCACTCAATTACAAAGCCACCTTTTGGACATCAAAAGAATGAATGCCTTTTCTTTAGACTCTACAGAGAAAGTCAATGACTTTTCGATACTCTGGCATCTGTGTAATCTGTAGAGGGTATACTATATTTGCAGGAAGTTAACATGTGTCTTTGGAAATTTCAAACAAAATATTTTGTGTCTCTAATGCCCTTTTCTTCAAACCTTCTAGTGGTTACCTACAGACATAGTCCCGATCTTTGGATTCTAATGACTTTTTCCATGAAGATGCAATTTTAAAACCTGGATTTTAGCTTCTACAAAAGTAAAGGATCTAGATGCTCTTCTTAGATATTTTCCACTTGTTGATAGCAAAAAAAAAGGTCTAGGAATAGTTAGATGATTATATCCGTATTGAAAAATGGAATGTGCCTCGACAAAGTCGTTTCGACAATACCCAAAGATCTACTCTACTATTTCCATGAAATCCAAACAGTAAGACCTTGGACTTAGGGTCTACAAGAGTAAAATTCACTAAACTACTGATTATAATAGGTATCTAGAGAGTCGAAATGGTCTTCTATAACTTTTCCACTTGTTGATAGCAGAAAACCACTTCTAAGAATACCTCCAGATGTAGCATAATCTCAGGCGACTTTCAATTAGTTATAAGGTGAGCAAATTGCAAACAAGTCACATATAATCACATATCTGTAGTGTATGTGCGACATATATCATATTCTATCCATCGATTCTACGTGCAATTAACTAATTATGTGACAAACATCCACTAAGGCAATGCTTCCCCTGTAACGGGGACGAGGAGAGGGACAGGAACAGGGACATGACTCAACTCATGTTTGCCGCCTGTCTTGAGGCGAATTCGCAGGAATTCTTCACCGATGCATCGACAGCAAACATTGCGTAATTACCCAGGCATTCGCTTTGTTTCCCACTCTAGAATGAGAGTCGAATGGGAAAACTCAGTACTCGTACAATTGTTTGAGTACCGTTGAGTAGTGTGTTTAGCAATGACTTATTTAGCGCACTGATAGCTGATAGCTGATAACTGATAACAAAGGGGCGCTAAATGCTGTCGATTCTCCATGCAGCGAGTCAGAAGCTGCAACCGAATCTCTGACTCAGAATACCTCTCTCTCGCTCGCTATCAGCGCCTCACAAATGTTGATTTTTTGGAACAGAAACAATGCACGATGATGCTCTAATACTCTATGGGAATGTGGGATGCAAGAAGAAGTGCTTCTTTGTAACGATAATGCGGCTCCATTACCTTTTTAGAAGAGAATAAATGATATATATAGCCGAGACGCTTAGACCTCAGATTCGCAGAGGTACAAGAGGAAGCGAACTTTGTGCTCAGAATCTTATATATTGATCGCATCTGCTTAACACTCAATAATCTCGTTGCGATCGAATCAAGATTATAGTCACGATGAAGCACAAAAGTTTTTCGGCTCGCGCTCTCTCTTCCATTGTGGCTTAGCATGTGCCTCGGTAAAAACTTGATTTTTTCTCGATGATAAATGACGGGCAAATGATTATCAGGAGACTGGAAAATTATATTATTTAAAGAGGGTGATGCCTGACGAACTTTGAGGACGGGGATCTTCTGTTTCCATTGATCCTTAAAAGGATCTTTTTCTTTCATATAAGTTAATTTCCTCTCGTTGACATGGGACAAGGGATCGCCACCCTTTTATGGTTGTGTTTAACCAATAACTTTATTTATTAAACAATAAGTAAATATATTATTGAATTATTTCTTCGTTGTTCATTCAAACAAAATCTGAAACTCATTCAATCTTTGACTCAGGATTGAAGTGCGATAAATGACATCATGCTCTTGGATATATCTTGGATATATTTTTAGACACCCAAGTAGACGCACACACTTTTTGGCTGGTGCTTGTGGAATGCTTGGTGGATTGTGGTGGATGACTCTACTCCCAAGTAATGCCCGTAGTTTTGGTTGCTGATTTGCGAAAGCAAAAGGCACTATCTAATCGGAAACTGATTGGCGGCAATGGCAATGCCAGTGCATGCTCTCTACTCCTCCTCCTCCTCCTCCTCCACTAGAGGAGGTTCTCCAGAGTTATATTATCGTTGATAAATGTGCCGACAACGACAACAAGAGGCGACAGCGACAGAGCGACGAGGCCAATTGATATGTAGAGCCGAATGTATTGATGGTTAAAACGCTTCAACTGCCAGCGGATCGGTTTAGTTTGCCAACAGAGCCGTCGTCAATAGGCGGAATATGCGCGAAATCTGCCTCTGACGATCTCTTCAAAGTGTCTGTCGAAAGTGAAACGCGATTCCCGCCGCAGAAGAATCTTTAACGAGAGAGCGAGAGATTAAGGATCATCATCAATCATGGCCAGGTAGAGCGAAAGAGGACTCCTATTCCAGTGTGTTACTTCCTGTGTGCCTCGACAAAAACGTTCGCCGACAAATTGATTGAAAAGTTGTGTTGCGTGGTGTTTTGCCCCATCGAGTGCTTCGGCACTCTTACAGTTATTATGCCATCGGAGGTTCTTCCTCCTGCGATCCATTGCATAATCGTCTTTTTATGGATTTACCACAAATTCGTCGTCGTCGTCGTCGACGCTGTTGTCGTATCAGTGAACCAAGAACTAGAGCACCGCGCAGCGATCCAATAAAGCTAATTCTCTCTCTCTGCTTCATGAAATATGGCATTGATAAGAGGTCCGGCAATTGCACCTGGACCCTATCCCCTACACCCTCTACCCCCTACGCCCTCGCATTTCCCCATCATTGACCAGCAAATACCTCTCTATAAATACCCAAAGATTGTATAGATAAAACATTATTGAATTGGGGCACATACTGCCAATGGATTTACGTTTATTGCAATTCCAAATTAAATTTTAGCCTCATTCGTAACTCCATTTATTGGCTAAAGTTGCCATTTCCGTACGGCTCTCAGAAATCCACTTGCAAGTAAATCTTATCGATCGTTTGCTGGGGCTTTTCTTCGTCTATAATCACTGTCCGACAACCCTTTGGAAGATTAGGGTTCTGAAAGATAAAGAAAGACCGAAAAGCAGAGAGCAGAGCGCTTTCAATGGAACCAGTCTGCAGAATATCACGTAATTTTTCAGCGGAATCCCAGGGCATGTGATCGTGATCTTTCCAAGGAATATTACTTTGTGGAGGTGCTTATGAGGAATCGGTTCGTTAATCTATAGAAAGTCTTCAAAATTATCTCCGAGAAATCGTTTCTAAAGGACTTTTAATCTTGTAATTTCAAGATCTTCTCCGATAAAGTTGTGTATTGAAATCTTAAAGAAGTGATCTCTCTTTCGTCTTATTCCTCATATTTTAATCTCTCTTTCTATATATTTTGTATACACTCTTCACAGTCCCACAACTCTGCCCAATATGGAGACGGGTTTGCATGAACGCGATCGTGCTGGCGTCCAGGACTTTGTGCTGCTCGAAAACTACCAGAGCGAAGATGCCTTCATTGACAATCTGAAGAAGCGTTTCCAGGAGAACCTCATCTATGTGAGTGCCTTGAGTCATATGCAATACATTTGTAGTAGTACTACCTCTTCCACTGTCTGTTTGTGTCTCTGTTTTCTGTCTTTGAAATGCATTCGATTGTACATTTATATTCGATCTATAAATTACTTAGTCAGGATGCTGGAGCTGTGTAAGCTGTGTAGTGGGTAATTTTCTAAACCACTCTTTCTAATCCCTGGGAATGGGTTCTCCTTTTGCAGACGTACATTGGCCAGGTGCTGATCTCTGTGAATCCCTACAAGCAGCTGCCCATCTACTCCGATGCCCACATCAAGGAGTACAAGAACAAGCACTTCTATGAGATGCCGCCACATGTGTAAGTCCCTTCAGCCGTCATCTAATCGCATCCCACTCATTCTACGGCGATCCACCAACAGTTTTGCTGTGACAGACAACGCCTTCCGTTCTCTGATCGAAGAGAATCGCGGCCAGTGCGTGCTCATCTCGGGCGAGAGTGGTTCCGGCAAGACGGAGGCCTCCAAGAAGGTCCTGCAGTACATTGCCGCCTGCTCCGGCCACCAGTCGACCGTCGAGGGGGTGAAGGATAAGCTCTTGAAGAGCAATCCCGTGCTGGAGGCCTTCGGCAATGCCAAAACCAATCGCAATGACAACTCCTCGCGCTTTGGCAAGTACATGGACATCCAATTCGACTACAAGGGCGCCCCCATTGGTGGCAACATCTTGAATTATCTGCTGGAAAAGTCCCGCGTGGTGGCCCAAATGGGGGGCGAACGCAATTTCCACATCTTCTACCAGCTGCTGGCCGGCGGTGATGATGCTTTGCTAACGGAACTGCGCCTGGAGAGGGCTTTGGACAGCTATAACTACCTCAGCGATGGGGTAAGTACGAGTAGATCATGCCATCTAAAGGGGCTATAATCCTCTACAATCCACTCTCTCTCCCTCTCTCTCTCTCTCCCTCTCTCT